AGATAGATAGATAGATAGATAGATAGATACGAGAGAGAGAGAGAGAGAGAGAGAGAAAGAAAGAGATAGAGGGCAAGAGAGCGAGAGCGAGATAGAGATAGCTCCGTCACGCCGCCTCCGATTCTGTTAACTTCAATTAAGCGTCGAAGTATCTGCAGAGCCCTCCGTGCTAACGCAGGTCGCGTGTTACGCGCCGACATAAATGGCGACAGCGACAGCGCGGTGCCATCAACACTAGCACGAGAGGCAACGTCTGCCCACGAGTACAGCGTGCGCCATTCACGGTGTAGGAATCTCGCAACGTCGATACAATGGAGAACGTTTTTATTGGAGAGCCACAGGGGGACAATTGACATCACGTAAATGATGGGGCGGCAGATTCACATGCATTCGCGATAGCTGATAGACTATAGCGTGCCGATATCGAACTGTTTAGGACGACAGCCTATCACGGACCTGCTTTTTACCAGTTTTTCTTGTCTTCCGGTAGTTTTACGAATCACTCAGTGTTTCGGAATAATATTTCGAAGAAAAATCGTTTGAAAGGGAAGGGGGACAAGCCACTCAGCAGCCAAAACTCCAGTACAATAAACACGGGTTGGGTTGATACATTTGCAGTTACGCAATAGAGCATAATCTGAGCAGTCACATTTAAGTACACACATCACGGTCTAATCTGCTCTGATAATATGAGATAGGGGAGGAGGGAAGTGATGGCAGCAACGGACTAATGGTGCCGCACTTCAAGTCCCGCCTTGCCTACTAAAACCTTCATCCTTGAGCACTGCACTTAAAGCCGATTATATCAGCGGCTGGCTCCAGTTCAAGAACCACTAGAAGGCGCCAGCATGTATAGGCAAGACAATTTACTCCTTTCCTTCACAAGACATAAGACGTGGCAGGTCGAGACTGCGATAACGGAGACTGTTGATATGCTTGTTTTTTTTTTTCGAATTGCACTGGAAATCTGGACGTTAGAAAACTGGAAGTGATCTTCATCGGAAAAAGAATATTCGCACCAAACCGTAGATCATCGCATTTCAGACAACGAAAGCTTCTGGTGGAGCCATACTAACACCACCCTACCACCACTACCGTACTACCACATTACTACTCCGCCCTAGCTCATTGTGACTATCTGCACTTGACCAAACCTCTACGCATTTTAACACAACAGTGTGAGGGCTCTGTTGCAGAAATTCAGTTATCACACGGCCATAAAATTATGAACCGAAGCTCAAATTGTCAAGCAGACATTCGAGCAAGTCCCTATGACAAAATTTACACGCGGGTATTAAGAGATTGTACTAACTAAACGCAATTTCAAACATGCATATGCTTAAATCCCTAAGCGGGTCCATTTTAAAATAATAATTAAAAAGTATTTCGCATTTAAACAGATATGAGTCTGAATCATAAAGGATCACAATCCTCATAAGGGTTAGGCTACCTGCACAGTGTATATACTACACAGTGATCACCATAACAAATTGGTCGTGTCCTATAGTGGGGCACAATATACGACATTTTCGTGTCTTATAACGATAAAAAATACGACATCTTCATTTCCAAATGATAATAAATTATGGGTTAATTTAGAGCCTCCGTATAATCAGAGTTTGGGTGAGATTTATTAACAATTACACTACGGTAGCACGCAGCAATAATTACAGTTCATTCACGTTCTATTATCACAATCGTCCTAGATAAAAATTTCTTGGATCATAATAGCCATAGGAAGGAGTGTACGAGATGGAGAGAGAGACAGAGAGAGCGAGCGAGAGAGAGTGCGAGAAAGAGAGAAAGAGAAAGCGAAAGAATGAGTCATATAGAGATAAAAAAACACACACACACAGAAGGAGAAGGAGAACGAGAGAGAGAGAGAGAAAGAGAGCGCGCGCTAAGGAGAGAAAAAAAGTAATGGATAAAAGGAAGAGAAAGCGTTATACCCTGATCATGGATCTTGCATAATCATCTACGCTATACGTTATAATGATCGAGAGATTCTAGGATTTGATAACGTGTACGCATATAATATGAGATATCGCATAATGTGGTTAGCGCTGACAATGTGTAATTCCTAAATAATTTCGTCCCTCCCTAATTACTTTTCAGCGAAATGGCTGCTGCTGCTGAATCGCTTCGATTATGCTGTGTCGATGCACTCTAATCGTATTAGACCGCTGTCTACACGCGTCACTTATACATATATATATATAAGTGACGCGTATGCGCGCGCGCGGCGTGTGTGTGTGTGTGTGTGTGTGTGTGTGTGTGTGTGTGTGTGTGTGTGTGTGTGTGTGTGTGTGTGTGTGTGTGTGTGTGTGTGTGTGTGTGTGTGTGTCTCTGTTGGTGTGTGCGTGCGTGCGCGTGTGCGTGTATACTTACGCAGCACTTCGGCGGTGACGCCGCTGCCTGACAGCTTTGTGAGACCGTCGCCGCCGTACGTGATGAAATAACAGACGTCGTTACCGACAACAAATCCGCCGCCGCCGCCTCCACCTACGTACGGAAAAAGCACACCATGGCGTGTTAATGCTGATTGTGGGACAGTAGTACTCATCACGTACCGTATATACTATAATCGTGCATATAGGCGACGTTTCATACTTCACCTATATAATTATGTACCCTTGTACGCCTGTCCGTCCGATCGTCCGATTTGCGATGTGTGTTTGTGAGTGCGAGTGTTTGTGCGTGTGTATGCGCGCGCGCGGGCGTGTGTGTGTGTGTGTGTGTGTGTGTGTGTGTGTGTGTGTGTGTGTGTGTGTGTGTGTGTACGCATAACGAGCTCGACGTTGAAAATTGAGCAGCTGCGGTACTGACAACACGCTCGAGATGTCGTTCCCAGCGCCGGAAACCTGTAGGCCGTACGTCACGCATCGCTTTCATCGCGCGTTTCCCCCCGTTCGTGGTACAGCCGCGGTTCCGCCTACTTGTATGTAGCAGCGTTTCATCTTGGTTACATGTAACCGAGCTTCCCATTTGCTTTCATTTAGCCGCATTGCATCTCGCTTACATATCGACGCATTTCCCCGTACTTACACGTATCCGTATTTGCCTAGTACTTACACGTATCCGCATTTCCCTAGTACTATACATATCAGGAGTAGATAATAGGGAACTACTCTACTCTATTATCTACTCCTGATACATATAGCCTCATTTTATCTTGCTAACATGTAACCGGGTTTCGCCTTGCTTACATGTAACCAGGTGTCATCTTGCTTACATGTAACCAGGTGTCATCTTGCTTACATGTAGCCGGGTCTCCCTGTGCTTACATCTAACCGTGTTTCATCTTGCCCCCGAGCTCTGCGAAATGCTATGCGCCTATTCCCCTGCCGCTGCCTCGACTACCAGCGTGTGCGCATTGCGTAACGCCTGTACTAGCTATACTTAGATTAGCTGTACGTATCAAGGCGCTGCTAACGCAGAGGGAATTGGATTAGGTGAAGCCGCCTAGGTATCATACTCAGCCGCTGCGTTAAGTGCTGAACGTGCGAAGCTTTCGACTTTGCACGGGAGAGTGCCGCGCACCTTCTCTCTCGTATCCCTAGCCAACGTCAAACCGCTAAGTCGCTACGGCTAATGTCACAGCGGATCGATCAGTGAGCGCTGAAGTTAAAGGTTAAGTTGCCGGTAAGAAACACCCGCCGTCGGCTTATCTCTATCACTCACGCCCACGCGAACGCGCGCCCGCCAGCACACGCGCACATATATACGCACACGCACGCATACACACGCACACGCCCGCCCGCACATGCGCGCGCTCTCTCTCTCTCTCTCTCTCTCTCGCCCACACACACGAACATACATGCACACTCACACCCGCATACAAACACACACACACACTCACACACACACACACACACACACACACACACACACACACACACACACACATACATACATACATACATACATACATACACACACACACACGCACACACACACACACGCACCACACCACACACACACACACACATACACACAACACACACACACTACGCGCGCCGCGCACAGCAGGCCACGTACGCACGCACGCACGCAAGCAGGCCACACACATGCACACACCATACACACACACACACACACACACACACACACACACACACACACATAACTACAATACAACATACATACATTACACACACACACACACACACACACCACACACACACACACACACGCACAACACACACACACACACACATACACACACACACACACACACACACACACCAGCACCACACACACACACACACACACACACACACACACACACCACACCATACACGCGCGGCGCGCACGCAGCAGACGTACGCACGCACGCACGCAAGCAGGCACACAACACACACACCACAGCACATACACACAACAAACACACACACACACACACACACACACACACCACACACAAGTCACACACCACACACACACGCACACACACACAGACATACACACACACCACATACACACACACATACACCACACACACACACACACACACATACACCCGCAACGCACGGCACGCGTCGCAGGCACACACACACCGCCACACACCCAACACACACACACACACACACACACACACATACACACATAAGCAATACACACACACTTGTGTCTGTGTATAGTCGATCGCGCAGCTAGCCGCGGAGCGATTAAAGGACTACGTCACGAATTTTTCGATGGTAAATTTGTAAAAAAAAAATTGCATTTTTTTACGCATAAAAGTAAGAACTAACGTTTACAAATATATCTCAAACTCTCACCTGATAAAAATGTTTTTACGTTGGTTAAATTTGCAAAAATCTAGACCGATTTGGTAATTTCTGTTGTCTAACACTATCCACCAGACTGTTCAGATACTGCGTCTCTCTGTTCACCGCGGCAAATTAGGGCATATAAAGAAGGTATATAATCCATAAAAAGTAAACAGAAACACTAATTATTTTCTACATTCATAGTTTGTACAAATAACACACAAAATGTAC